ATCATTTTTATCTCAGTGCTGTTAATTTTTTGCAGGTGTGGGTTGATGATGTGCTTGTGGGTTGAAAATTCCGGTTCTGCTGTATCCAAGTTTCTGTGGAAGTAGCCCAAGTCCAGCTTTGGTGGTGCTGAGATTCCATATTGTAGACTCTTGGCCCAAACCAGTGGACCTTAACAGTATAGTACTTGGATTATAATTGAGCTCTGTGAGACTTGGGTTTGTTCTTCACCGTCCTCTGTCTGGGTGTTGGCCAATCCAGAGGGCAGGACCGGGTCACTTGGCCTGAGGCCACACATTCATTAAAGGCTTCAGATGGAGGCTTCTGATGGTTTGATGATATCTCCAACCAAATTCAGTCATCAGAGGCACCATCAGGGTGAAATGAGTATTTTCATTCTATAACTTTAAATACCACAGTTTTTATAACTCCGCTTTGCATTTCTTCTTATTCTTGGGAGCCTAAAGATAGTGGCAGTGGTGTGGGTGTCTCCAGGCCTTTGTAAAAGGCCCGGGAAAGGTGTATTTTCTACCTTTTTTCAGGATAAAGAGAATGGACCATGAGGGCCTTTGAAGTTCCTGACAGTGCAGTGTTCGGTGATCATTTTCCTGGGCCCTCGTTTGGAAACTGGGGACACCAGCGTTCTTCAGGGCGGTGACAGTAGTAACTGAAGTGTCAGGGGTACAGAGCAATTCTACATGGATTGTATTTCATGGCTCTTTTGATAAAATTGTGGTACAAGAAGCCAAATTATGTGGGAAGGAAGGAACCAGTGAGTCTATGATAGCTTTCAACAATAGATAATAATTCATTGTCATTAAGAAGTTAATGTATTACTCCTCTGGCCAATAATGAAAAGAAGGACAACAACAAATTTAAAAACAAAAAAGAAAAACAGAACTGCCAGAAAATTGAACTGTATGGAAATCCAACAACCAAGGAGTTAAAGAAGAAATATTCATTCAGACTGGTAGGAGGGGCGGAGATGCGCAGCCAGGGCAGAGAGGACGCACAGCAAGGCAACAGGTGAAATGGGAGGTCCCACATTTTCATGTGGATGAACTGGGAGGAACAACTGGGGAGCAAGACAGACAGTACAATCCAGAGTTCCAGTGCAGGGAAATAAAGCCTCAAAACCTCTGGTGGTATAAACCTGTGGGGGTTGTGGCTGAGGGAGAAACTCCCAGCTTCACAGGAGAGTTTGATGGAGGGACCCACAGGTGTGAGCAGGATACATGGAGTAAGTATGGATTTGTGGCCAAGGCTGGATGTGGAAATCCTCTTGTGTTGAAAGATTTTGGCAAAACCTAAAATGGAAGCATCAGATTGTGTGTGAGAGTGTGTATGTCTAGCTAGTGGTATGCTGTATTCTAACTGCTTACAAAGTGATGCTCCACAGTAGGGTAGTAAATTCACGTTTGATGTGCTGATGGAAGGACATGTAAAGTGAACGGGGGATTGATCTCTGTGCTTTATTTTGTGTAGGGAGGAAAAAAAGTTAAGTATCCTTCAAAGCCAATTGTCATGCTGCATGAAATGGCCTTTTTAATAGCATGATTCTTAAATAGTCTCATTTCTGGGAGTTTTGATGAGCTGGGATAAGAAAAGGCAGAGTACTTGCCCAAAACTACACATGACTTTTCCGGGGGGAGGGTTTCAGTCACTGAATGAGAAAAGCAGGAGTTTTGTGGGACTCATACCCTTGTCTGTATTGATATGTCTATTAATGTTATTAATTAGGTGGGAGATATATTCAAATTAGCAAAAGTGAAACGCCCCCACCCCCTGCCCCAACAGGTACATTTTATGTCAGGGCTCCTCTCTGGATTTTGTTTTATAAGTGGCTTTGGAAACAGATTTCTGTTTCTTTAGATAGGGCAGGAGTTCCTTGTGCCCTGCGCAGTGAGAAGAGATTAGCCATCACTGCGTTCATGAAGCAGTCTCCTGGCGGGGAAGTCTGCTTTCTTTCATTCAGAGTTGAAGAATTGTGAAGTCTCTCATTATACTTTCATGTGGCCTTAGAAAAAACATAATTTTATGTAATTTGGGAATAGCCGGGGCTTTTTATTGTACCAAATACTTTTTTCGTACTAATCCCTAGTAGATTGTTAAAATGTCCCTTTCATACTGCTGAGAATATTGTATGTGTCTATAAAAATAGGAGAAGTCCATGCTCTTTGGATTATACATTTGTTAGGAACCAGTCATTTATTTTTTCCATGATAAAAATCTCTGCAGAATAAAGAAGCTGAGTTTTTTTTTTCTTGGTTGATGGTTTAGTTCATACCATCAAGAAAGTTAGATACTTTCTTTTGAATCAAATCCAGTATTAGTACAGAATGCTATTTTAGTTAACTACTTTTATCATTCTGCCTACAACATTTACATCACATAGATTTTTTTCTCCTAAGTGAAGCTTTGGCTTCATTTTGAATTTGCTGCATTTGTATAATTAAATCAAAGTGTGAACAGCAAGCTTGAGAGTGAAATTTACTGGCAGGGATGGCCAGTCAATTGGAATGTGGCACCAAGATTCAAAATGTGTCCCCATTAATAAAAGAGCATTCAGAAATTCAAAATTAGGTTAAATGGATAAAAGCAGGCTGTGGACAAAGCCAGGTTGAGACATTTTTGGACTGTGGGCAGTAGAAATTAATTATCTGAATTTGTGGCAGCTGTGACCCGCTCTGACCAGTGGGACCTTGAACATCTTGGGTGTTTCAGGGCACTAACCTTCCACGCAGAACTACAGCTTCCCTCTGCAAACGCAGACTCCCAGCCCCAGAGCTGACCCTCGAACAGTGGGGTATGAACGGCTCCACTCTAAGTGGACTGCGCAGCGCAAACCCATGTTGTTCGGGTCACCTGTAGTGACAAATCCAGACTGGGCAGCTGAGGGCTGGGCTTGAGCCCTCCATGCTGGTTGCTACTAGCTGTGTCGTCTTGGCCACAGTGCCTCTCCTCCCAAGGCCTTTTCCGTTGCATGGAATGAGGAGGAACACATCTCCCTCACAGATTTTTGAGAGGTTAAAATGACAGTATATTTCAAAGTGTTTGGCAATGCTGAATGGATTGAACACAGATTTCTCTGGTTTCCTTGAAATAGAGAGGAGAGGATATTCAGGAGATGGAGGCCACTGTTCCCCCTGACTGTGTGAGATGGGACTTGGGAGGGGACAGAAGAACGGGTGCACGTGCATGTTCTGGGGGACCAGCTCTGGATTTATTAGTACTTTGGGGGAGAGTCAGGAGCCTGGATTCTGTTTGGGGCCCTATGATTTCTTCATTGTGATTGGCCTTCAGAAGAGTGTTAAGAGTGTGAGTTAGTGATTAGGAGCCAGTGCTTTATAAATGAGATATATAAAGTAAGGGAGAGGAAGAAGAGGGCACCCTCCACTCCCTTGCCTTCCTGCTCCTTCATCTTATTAAGCTGCCCTGTCTTTCTCTTTGGTGTTGTAGCAGTCAGGGTCCCAAGTGTGATGTGGCATACTGCAGCTGGGTGACTGAGGAGTTACAGGGACCTGGAGAGGGCCGCCCAGCTGGGGCTGGGCCTTTTTAGAGGGGACACAGCATATCTTGGTGCTCTTGCAGCGAGGAAGCTGGGGGAATAAACACTGCATCCTCATTCTCCTGCTCTCTGGTCTCCTTCTGGTGTCTCTCATGGACTAGATCCAAGTGGAAGACTGAGGACAAGAGAAATGTTATGAAATCCATGCTGGTTGGCCTCCTGGTGCACTAAGCAAGATGAGAAAATTGGGAGAGGAACTCTGGGTGTCTGGAACAGCAGGAAATTATCTTACTTTGGAGTTGATTTTGGGATTCTTTTTTCTTAACTGTTAATTTCCTTCCCATTAATTCACCGATTTCACGTTCTTGGAAGTCTGTGATAGTGTGTTGCCCAGGGGCTTAGTGAGTAGGTCCAAAGAGTTGCCAAGTACAGACTAACTACTCCTGCGTGCTTTCAGTGAACCACCAGCCAATGTAGTTTATATTTCATCTCCTACTTTCATGTTTTTATTTTTTCACTTTTGGGGGATGAGTACACAGAAGTTTCTCCGGTGGCCAGGAGAAAGAGGTACTGTTGCCCGATTCACTTTCCTTTTCTTTGCATACCATTAACCTCACACACTGAGATTTCTGTTATTGTTGTGGGAAGAAATGGACAGAGATTCTCATTAGATGATTAGGTCTGTGGTTGGGCTCTCAGAGCAACCCTCCAGTGATAGGGATAATATACAAAGAAGCAATCTAAAGTTTGTTTGTTTTTTACTACCTACTTTGTATTGCTTGGGGAAGTAAAGGTGGGTTTTACTACCAACTTTCTATAAATTGTTGACTGATAATGAGAAATGATTTCATAGCTTTATTTTTATTAGAGATGCTACTTTTTAGATATTTTTTTTCAGTATTCACAGCTGGAATTATATTCTGCCAACCAGCACCCCTAGAAATCAATACAGTTGATGTCCAGAAACATCTTCATCCTTATCTGGATACTGTGCTCTCTGCATACCTCATTTTAAAATAAGAGAAAGTATCTAGAAACTTTCAGGCATTTTTCTCTTACCACTGTCTGAGCAGCATTTGTGTAAGTGCGTTGTCATTCCCATGTCCAGATCCTGGCTAAACAACCTAGCCTCCTGGGAGTGTTTCGGGTATTCCTTAGAGTGTTACTCTATTCAGAAGATGCTGTTACCATTGTGTTTCTTAGAAGATACATGGTTACACATCACCATCAAAATTCATGTTGATTGGCTTCCAAAGGGGTGACAGGTAATTTTTTTAAGCTCCTCTGCCTATGAAATGGACTCTTGTTCTCTAATTTTGCCAAGTGCTTACTATGGTGGCATGTCTCCTCTGGTGATGCCACTCTGCTGTCCTGGGATGCTTCTCTGAGCATGCTGCTTGGGGACGTCAAGTCCAAGCTGCCGTTTCTAGTTTAGTGGTCTGGGAGACTGGGAAGGTGTCATGGTCTGATGAATTTCTGTTGTCCATCTTTCAGGGACAGGAGAGAGTGGCAAGAGTACGTTTATCAAGCAGATGAGAATCATCCACGGTTCGGGATACTCGGATGAAGACAAAAGGGGCTTCACCAAGCTGGTGTACCAGAACATCTTCACGGCCATGCAGGCCATGATCAGAGCCATGGACACCCTCAAGATCCCCTATAAGTACGAGCACAATAAGGTAGGCATGGCTGCATGGCAACCGCCGGCCAAGCAAGCCACAGTGCGCCTCTGGGATGGATGCCTGGTGGGTTTTTGCAATGGACATTTTTCACCTCATCCTAAATGGGACTTCTAATGGTCCAATAAGTTGTTTTTAGTTGTTTTTCTTAAATATTTAAAGTCACATATATAAAAAATTGGAGTTGTGTTCTTAGTCATCGACGAAGGACGTACTTGGATGTGTGGTGATGATAAATAGATGGAGGTTTAAAATTTAGGGTCGCACATTGCACTGAGAAGACAGTTTGTAAGTTCAAGACAAGCTGACCAAAGTGAGGGAATGCAGAGAAGAGGCGGTAGCCTTGCTTCAACCTCCCACTCCTTGTGCTTCCTTGAAAACAGAATGAAAATAGCAGAAGGCCATTCTGTCCAGTTTAATTTTGGATGTTGTGACTTCCTTTCAGAAGTACCACAGGCTTTATTTTATTTCAGAATAGGTCCATCTGCCACATCCAGTAACCTTTCAGACATGTTTCTCTGTAGTTGTGTTAAAGTCATGGAAACTTCTAAAATCATTTGCTAAAGAGGTAGGAAAAAAACACTGAAATGTGCAGCTTTCTAGAAAACCAGCACACTTGTCCCATGTCCAGCATGCTCTCCCAGTTGAAGTAGAAGACCAGGTTTACGCTTGGGTGGAAACACATGCTGTTGTTGCCCACCCTGCGGATGCTGCAGATTCAGAATCTCCAGCGAGGCTGCTGCGTGTGGTGCCGGCCCCAGGTCTGAGTGGCACTGCAGGTGCCCTGTGGAAGCTCAGAGGCAACAACTGTCGCTACACCAGGGAGTGACCCCGGTGCAGGACCCCCATCCCGAGGGAAGGGAACTCTCTGGAATTTGTGGGAATGTCTTTATAGTCTGGTTTCTTCCATTCTGTTCATCTGCCAGTACTTCCACTGATGGACACAGTCTTGCTCCTTAGGGCATATGGGTGCTGGTCTTATAGTCAGCCAGCAAAATCTTACCTCTTGTTGACACAACACTGTATTTCTACCTACAGTTAGTTTAGGGTCTTTCACTGGAACTTCCATTCTGTCAGTATTATCAGTAATGTACTCTGGAGGATATTCCCGTATACCAGGTTCAATAGTTAACAGCAAGGAGTTGGCATGCTCTGTATGACTGAAGAACAGATTTAATTCACAAAAATGAATTATAGATAAGATAAAGCAGTTTTGTGTACCTTCACTTCTGTTAGTGTCTAGAAGTTTCTAACTATGCAAATCATCTTCAAATCAGGCATTTCTGTTTCTTGAGCAGTTCCTTGAAATTAACTGGCTGTTTCTTATCTAATGATATCTTCACACTTACTTTTTCTATGGCAACAAGAGTCTGTTCACAAATAATGGAGAGACCCTCCACAAATACTCCTTCCTGTTTCTGTTCTCAAGAGTGAAAAGATCTGGGAGCATGTGTGAGACTGGGGCCATCATGCCTGAACCGGATGAGACTGCACAGATATCTGAGCCTGAATTGAAAAGGGTCAGGATTTTTTCCCTGAAAGCTCATGTAATGAATTTCTGAAATAGACAACATGCTTGTTTTTTTGCAGTTGTGAGACAGTTCTGTTGAAGGAAACAAAAAATTTTTTAATGCCAGTGACTTTTCCAAACTACAATTGGTGGATAATGTGATGACCTGATGAATTTTGCCTGAGTTACTGTATGTATGCTGTGATTGGTGTGTGTGTGAAACAACAGACACATGTTGCCAATTTACACCTTATAATAGTCTCCCTAAAGAATACCAAACAAGTCATCTTTCTTGGATGCTCTGGAAGAATCCTTCAGGATCTTGCCTTGATGTTAGATTTTCATATGAAGATCATTTGTTGTAAAATCATGTAGTTGTAGAAAATGGTGTGGAATTTATGCCTTATTCAAAAACACCTTGAAGAATACCTAACAGTGTGTGTTATTTGAGCTCTTTGTATGAATTCTAGTTAAGCACTTTACTGTGAATACCATTCAGTGAGAAATCAACCTCATAAAAATTATATTAGTATGATTTTTCTGAAATACCATAATTGTCCTGTGAAATCTCCCATGTCTCTTGGTTTTTCAACACACTTCCTAAAAATGTGACATTACGCTGACCTGTGAATTAAACATCCTTTTGTGTTTAATCCCCTCTAAATCGTAATGTAAATTACTTTCACATTTGTTCCATTTTCACTGCAACATTTATATTCTAATGTATCACACTCCCCTTGCTTCATTTGGCTTCCTGAGCTCGGCCTGCCCTTTGGCTTTGTTAATGCTTGTTGAGGAATTCTGTTGTTTCCTCCCTATTCAGCCCCTCTGCGGCTGCCTCCCAGAGTTCTTCTCTGCTCTCCCCCTAGTACTAAGTATTCCCACCCTCCTTCAGCAGAACCTACCATGGGTTATTTATAATTGTCTAGCTTGTGTTAATTATGACAGTTTTGGTGGTGATCTGATTTCCTGACTAGACTTTACTGAGCTCCTTGAAAGTGCACATTATGTTAGTTCCATCTTGGCATTCTTCATTGTCCCTGGCATTGTGTCCTATACATCGTAGAGGCTCAAAAAATTTCTTGTTGTGTGAATAGTTGAATCATTTGTAAGCTTAAACAATAGAAAGTCTCCTCTTTCACCTCTGAAGTGATTGAGATGATTATTTACATCAACAGATAGGTGTCAAAATCGTTTATCTGCATAACAGAATAAATGCCTGTGCTGTCAGGGATGCAGAGAAGTCTAGCCAGAGCTAGGCAGAACTTGACAATTCGGGAAGAGACGAGGGAGGGGCTCCCAGGAGAAGAGGGATGGCCGAAGAGCACGTTCAGAAAAAGGAATGTGCATGCAGTGTATAAATTGGCCAGTTTACCTTGAGTAGAATTCTTCCAGAGGAGAAGTGGAAAATAAGAACTAAAATGTGGTGGAGGATGTGCTTGTGAAGGGTTCTGAATCCAGGCTAAGAAATCTGAATTTTATTTTCTCATGTTTATGATACTTCATAATAATATTTTATGTTTTGGTTAGAATTTTCTACAGAAGTTTTTGGTTACAGTATGCTTTATATTTTATAGTTTAAGGGGTTTAGTGTGCATTTTATTAGCAATTGCTGGAAAGCAATGCATTGTGATTTATATTATTTCGTAGCACAAAAGATATAAAAAAAATAACCATTTCATTTTTTGAAAAGCTTCTTTGCTCCATCTGCCACATGGCCCTAACCTATGCTAGTAACATGAATAAAAGCAAAGATTTTCCAGTACTATCCAGCCTAACTTTGTACTTGCTTCTAAGTTCATCTATTTTATAAGGCAGAACATAATTTATAAGTGATATGGCTTGTTCTGAACCGGAAAACTATGCCCAGTTTTGTTTGCTTTGAAAATGGTTCCAGCTACGGAATGCCACCCCAGAATGTTGTAGTCTCCTTCGCTCCTCCTGTGTGTCCCTGCACTGACTCCAGAGTCCCTCTCGTTGGCCGGGGTGCTGGTGCGGGGGTCAGGGGAGTGCAGACTGCAACCCCTGCCCCGAGAGGTGGCATGGCACCCCGTAACTTTTCGTAGACTTTACTCAGTGCTCCAGGGATCACCAGTTCGGGAATGGCTTTTGGTAAATTTCAAAATTCTACCAAAATAAAGATTAATTATTTCCTGAGTGTGTATGCACCATCCTGGCCTTGGATTTTTTTGCCAAACAAGTTATGTTTGTAGGTGAGCTGATTGACTCAGCACACATGAGAGAACTTCTGAATATGTTGTGAGCTACGGTTTGTTTATTCCTAAATGGTACTTTGCGGTTTCCCTAAACACAACTGTTGATAGCTGATGTTGAAAGGGACTAAATACTTGTCACTTAGTCAAACCAGACATTACATTTAAGGTGCCACTAGGTGAAAGGCATTCAATGGTGAGATCATTGCATCATTCCTTACTTTCCAAAAGGGAGAGTTTTCATCACTATTATTTTTCGTTTTTCTGCCTTATGTAAATGTACTCTTCTGATCTTTGCTTTGATGCTGAAATCAGCTTTTAATAAAAAGGAAGAGATGAACAGTTTCTGTGCTTAACTGGCTAAGAACTACCTTGAAGGTCTACCTGGGGAAGTAGCTCATAAGGTTCTGACCCTTGATTTTTATGTACTTGCTTTCTGTACCTGGCAGTGGGCATTCTTCCTTCATCGACTGCTGTATCTTACATGCATGTGCTCTATTTTGTCAGTCACATTGCACATTGCCTTTTGGTAAGTGAGCTTCTTGTTGTATGATTCATTGTTTCCTCCACAACAGGCCACAAACATTGTAGGAGCTTTTTGTTCACTAGTGGATCTCTCCAGATATAGATCCTGGTATCCCTTTATTGTTGCCTCGGAATTTCTGTGAACTGTGAAATCAAGGTGTTTTTATGGCTATTTCAAAGTATCGACAGGCCTTTTGCCAATCCCAGAAAGAGAAAAGAATCTGATGCGGTGCTTCTTCAAGAAGTTATTCAGTAGATCTGAGCCTCCCGCTCGTGTTGGGGAGCTAACGTCACCTCCTTTGTTCTGGTTCCTACTTTGAGACTTGTGACCGAGGCTCGTGGAGCACCTAGCCAGCAGTGTGTAGGCCTCGCACGGTTTCCTTTTTCTCCTGGGTGCACAGGCCCAGGCACATGTTGCTACAGTACCTGTTGTCCTCTCCTCCGTACACTCTAATAAGATAGGACTTGTCTCAAGGCAAGACCCCCTTAAACACATTTACAGCTTTCTGAATTTTCTGTGCTTCCTAAGAAATCCAAGCCCAGAAGCCATTTTCAAAAGAAAGATGTAGCCAAGATTCTGGAGAACTTGCCAACTTATCCCTGCCTTTGATCACATGAACAAGAAACTACTATACTTCTTTCTTCACCATGAGGGAATTCTCTTAGTTTACAAAATGCTAAGAGCTTGATTTCATGTTAGCATTTCTCACCTGTATAAAAGCAGAAGTTAATCAGTACATATTTTAATCTGT